GGTAAGTAATCCTACAATTTTTTATTTATAGCGTAGTTTATACGGATTATTTCCAAAAAAAATATACGTATTTTGGAAATGTTGAGTCGGATTAGTCTAGAATCGATTAATTTTATGGAAGAAAATCTTTCAAACAGCCATAGTCCGTAAACTTGATACGTGTCGGGTTGTGATTGGAAGGATTCGTAAGAAATTGGATTCCTAAAGAATGGAACGTATCTATATCTTATAGGGGGGTCGACTGTATTTACAGTACATGCATTTGTAAATTTAGATTACTTTTTTTCTGTACTGTATTAAAAACTAAAATTTATTTGTTTGTAAGCTTAAAATAGATCCTTATTAACCATACATTATTAAAAATGCATTAATAAATAAAATACAGAACCGCAATTGCCAATTTATGGTTTAGCCTAGTGACAAGTAGATTTGGAGACAAGTAAATTCGACTTAAGTCATTCTCCTGGAACCAATTACTGACGTAAAGTGAGGTATACATGTACTATGTTATTTTTAAGTGTTAAATTATAACCACTGTATGTATATATATATACATACAGTGGGTGATCGGTTAATGAACATAATCCGTTCCAAGACTTTGTTTGCTATCTGAATTGTTCATTAACCGATTATCGATTTACCATAGGGTTTAGCGGGAATTTAATTAATTCGTTCTGGAGACCCCCAAAAATAAAAAAATATATACTTTCTTACTACATTTATTTATATGTAATAATAAAAATGCATACGTACACAGTCTTGCATTTTTATTAGTCATGTTTTTTCTATTTAAAAGGGTTAAAGAATCTGTCTAATGTCAATTGCTTTTCTCTCTTCTTCAGGATTTTTTGTAAGTAATTAATAGCATTGCAATTGTAGAAATCCCCAAGCCTTAACCTGGTTTGAATGCCATTCTAAGACCGTTGTTCTGACATCCTCCCAATTCTTCAAAAGATCTTTAATAGTGGATATCGGCATTAATCCTCTTTTTCAAAAGAAAACATATCTTGCCGAGTTTCTTGGTGTTCTTCATTCAAGAGTTGTTGGCATTCTTCTGTCATAAGATCCGTTTCAGGTTCCATTATGAACTTTTCGATGTTCTTTATTTCTCAGATGTGATATTTGTTACTCCTTTAGCTGTTTGAGTCTTCTTGATTATACAGTATTTTTCTTAAATAAGATTGAACTGCGGCCTACTGTAGACCTGTTCACACCATATTGCCCAGCAACATTAGGCATCTTCCACCTACTCTCTACCTTTGCTATTATACTCTCACCTTTCGAAAAGAAAAACAGACGCAAAACTTAACGAGTGCCTACCCGACAGTCTCGCGAATACATATAAGAATTGTTTTGTCAGAAAAATAAAAGGCTGGAATTACAAGGGAGAGTTTCAAAGTTTGGAGGAATACTATCTGATCGGTATATATTGGCTTGAGCGTCGATGTCGACGTCTCCCGCACTCCGAAAAGTTTCGAATTGTTGCCTGAAGACAAGGGAAAACCAATTGGTATTTGTTATTTTACGTTGCTTCTTCTTGTGTTTTGTGAAATCTGCGATTTATACGCCGATGTCGGAAAAATCTTTGTAAACAACTCCGATGGGAAAAACCCAGTCTTGGTGAGAAGTATATCGGAGGTCACCGATTGTTTTCACATTAAGATGGGAAAGNTTCGATGCTCAGGATTTATAGGGCCCTTGTCCGCTCTAAGCTGGACTACGGTTGCATTGTTTATGGCTCTGCGCGAGAATCTACTCTTCGGATGCTGGATCCAATCCACCATCAAGCCTTGCGTTTGTGCACCGGTGCATTTCGAACTTCCCCTGTTCAAAGTTTGTATGTGGATGCTTATGAGCCTTCACTATCTCTCAGGAGAGAACAGTTGTTTCTTTTTTATTACATTAAACAAAAATCTCAGAAAAAACCTACAGCTGATTGTCCAGATACTCAGCTGAAAAGATCATTTGCCACTCGACGAGTTGTGTCCTTACATTCGACATAAGAATGGAGAATGTAAGCAGCATGATTGACCTTGACACAAGCAACATCTCACATGTTGAGGTTAATAGTATTCCATCTTGGTCAACTTCACCGATCGATTTTGATTTAAGCTTAAAGCAGTTCCCTAAAGAAACCACACCAGACTACTTCTATAGACAACACTTCGCAGAAATTCAGCATCGTAACAGGAATTTAATTCCTATATACACCGATGGATCTAAATCGGATAACTATGTTGGCTTAGCCTTTGTTTGCCAGGATGAAATCGTGGCAGAACAAATAGCACCAAATTCTTCCATCTTTTCTGCAGAGTTGCAGGCTATTTATTTAGCCTTAAAGTATATAAATCGGAAAGGTCGTCGTTGCTGCGTGATTTACACTGACTCAGTTAGTGCACTTCAGGCTTTGATCTCGTATGAACGTAGTTCTCACTCCATAGTTATT